AGACGGGGTTTCACCATGTTGACCAGGATGGTCTCGATCTCTCGACCTCGTGATCCGCCCGCCTCAGCCTCCCAAAGTGCTGGGATTACAGGCTTGAGCCACCGCGCCCAGCTTCAAATTTATTTTCATGTATTTATTTATTAGACTCATGCTAACACTACATTTTTCTTTTTCTTATTTTTCTTAAGAATTAAGTTGCTACTGCATCATCTATATTTAACAAACTGTGTGATGGTCTTCGAGCAGAAGTGGCCAAGAACTTCTCCTCTGCCTTATATAAGCTAATTTTTTAGATTCTGAGATTACCCTAGTACTACATACTTGTATACATTTTCAAAGAGTTGGCTGCATATTTACTTTGTTATCTCTTTAAGCTTTTATTTTATTCTTAATCAAATTTTCATAGTGCTATGTAATTCATTGGTTTAATAAATTTGGTCAACAGGTACTTCTGTTTCTCAGCAGCTTTTTCTGTAGCAATATACAGTATTTTATTTACAATGGCATTATCAAAATTATATGCCCCTAGAAATGATCAAAATGCTTGTTTTGTTTTGTTTTGTTTTGTTTTTAACAAAAGATTAAGCTCACTGGACTTTGGCTCTCTAATCTGTAAAACGGCATAACAATGTCCCTATCAAAAGGACTGTGAGTATATCGAATAAGATAACTGGTGTGAAAATACTTGGGAAAGTTGATGACAAATATACACACACCGTGTATGTTATGATTATTATTACTACCATCTTTAACTGTTTTGTTCTTCAGCTATTTCACTGGTTTCTTTTTATAGAGGATAAGATGATATCCTATCTATTAGGAAAGAATTTTTTTCCTTTTTTCACTTTTCCAGTATAGTAAATAGTTATATTTAAAATTAAAGAGTATTTACAGGTTTTCCAAAACAGTTCTATTAAATAGATAACCACAAACCTTCATTTTAAATACCCTTCATTAGGTATGTACTGTTTGTGTTTGAAATTTCTAAGAAATTTTCTCAATAGGAAAGCTTAACTAGAACAATTAATATAAAATAATCAAGTAATTAAATATATCATAACATCATTCTCCATAAAGCACAGTTGGATTATAGACATCAGACAGTCTTCATAGCATTATTGTGAACTAGGTAAGGTAAGAAAATTAAAGTTTACACATGGCATATGACGATTCAAATTAAGAGAAGGTATAGTCCTTTATGGTGGAAGATATGTATAGTGTCAGATTAAATGTTAAAATAGTAATTATTTATTACTTTTCTTTCCACAGAAACTTAATCTCTTTGGCAGAAAGAATGCTTTCTAGGAGTCAGTGTCAAAGGAGCATCTTTCTAGTCCAATGTAAATATCCAGGGAGAATGGAAAAGCTAAACATGTCAACACATCATTTTTCAGCAGCATATAGAGTTGACTTTTGGTCTGATGAAACTCGTCATTCCTACCTGAGTCCGATCAGATAAAGAAACTCTTGAGGCACACAGCAAAGTGAGGTCATCCTTGCAAGTTTGATTTTGAAATAAAAGCATTTCATATTTAAATATAAAATACCGTAAGATTTTCATAAATATATGTGTATATTTAATATTTACTATATAGAGTGTATGAAAGAAATAATCTATCCAAAATTGAGCTTACTACACTTCATATAGGTAGAACACATAACTATATAAACGGTCTCCACTAACTCACTGTAAGTTTTCCCCATCAATTCCAAGGTTGACTCGCCTTTGATGAAGTTGGATTAGATGACTTTCAATTCGGTCATTTGCCTATTTAATATTGTTTATTATTATCTATGGGGCTGGTCAGTATTCCACTCACTTCTACCCTGTCCCTTTTTTGATCTGCATAGTGGCTTTTTTAAGCCTTTCCCTTTCTTCTCAAGCTGCCCCATCCCTCTCTCCTCTGGCTATTGACGGCTGTACCTTCTACTTTTACATTAATTCGTTTGGAGATGGAAGAGTAGAATGTTTAGAGAACTCATGGCTAATAGCTCTAAACATTTCTTTTCGTCATCGTTATCTTCTTTTTCTTCTTGCTTCTTCTTTCTTTTCTTTTTCCCTTTCTGTTTTTTCCTTCAGACACAGTCTTGTCTTGCTCTGTCACCCAGGCTGGAGTGCAGTGGCATGATCAGAGCTCACTGCAAACTTGAACTCCCGGGCTCAAGCAGTCCTCCTATCTCAGTCTCCAGAGTAGCTGGGACTAAAGGTACATGCTATTTTTTATTTTATTTTTAGTAGAAACATGCCATACCCATACACAGCTAATTTTTTATTTTATTTTATTTTTAGTAGAGATGAGGTCTCACTATGTTGGCCAGGCAGGTCTTCTTTGTCCTTCCTAAAGCATAGTTCTGATATCTTACTACTTTTCCAAGGATAGTCTCCTTACTTCAGCTCATGATCTCATCTTTGGCAGCAACTACAGCTCCATCTTTAACCCTTTTTTCCTCTTGAATTATTAGTCTATTTCTACCTCCTAGACCCTTCCCTCAGCTCAAGTATCTTGAATTCAAAAAGTCTGCTTGAACCTAATTCTCCGTCAGGCAGCCTTAGTTCTCTCTTCCTGCTTCACTCATCAGCCTTTTGAAGAGATGCCTGGGCTCGCTCACATTTCCACTTTCAATTCACTCCTTAACCCAGGGGCTCCTAATGCTATTACCTGAATATGACGCTCCACTCAACCATCATTCAAAAACCTAGTAATTATGAAAGGCCACTGTTCTCATTTTCCTGGTCTTCTGGACTGTTATTTCTGTTTGCTGTTCTGGTACTTTAACTGTTGTCTTGTTTCCCGCAGCCTCATCATGTACAAGTCAAATTCATCACCTGTTATCTGCCATGTTTTCTGCTCCTTGTTTCTCATTCATGTCCACATCACCATTTACATACTCTTTCATGGTCAAAACATCAGCATTCTCTTTGATTCTCCTTCTCCACTGGTGGTCTCCCAACATACATAGAAACATACATCACTCTCTCTCTCTCTCTCTCTCTCTCTCTAAGCCTCTTGCATCTGAACCAACTCTTTGCTCCACTGCCATCACTCCCTTGACCTAGCTCTTCATCATATTTAGCCTGCCTTACTTCTGTGAATTTTGACATGAAATACTTCCCTGTAGTCACTTCACTACACAATCATTCAACAATAGAGTCAGCATATGATCATGCCAAACACAGCTAAAAACCTCTGTGGCTCTCCAGTCCCATAGGCTGTATTTGAATCTTTCTTCTCTTTTGCCAGGTTTCGCTATTCACACCAAACAGATTGTCATTCCTTAGTTCAGCTGTAATTTTCCATGCCTCACATTTAGCAAGTGTTGTTTCCTTAGCCCAGTGTTTTCTGTACCTTTCCCTTGGGTGGAAAACTCTCTTTCTCCTCTCTATGTTCCTGCAGTGCTTTGTAAATGCCTCAAGGATGGTGCCCCTGGTATTTTATTGCAATGGTAACACATGCCAGACCTCACCACTCCACAGATTGAGAGCTTTAAATACACAGTATTTGCTCAAGAAGCATTCTCATTATGTGTGAATGAATAAATGTCTTGAATTCCAAATCTAAGAAAGTGAAATAAAAATAATGTAGAAAAAAGGCCACTAGGAATAGAAAGTTGTTTAGGGATGAAGAAGGATAGACATCAATAATACAACTGCTAATAAAATAGCAACTATAGTTTGTAAAAATGAGTAAAATATGATTTCATTTCTAGAACCCCATGTAGACCGATTGCAATACTCTGATGCTCTGTTAGAAGAGCAAGAATAATACTAGACAGACAGGGGTCCCATACAGTCTAATTCTAATAAGATAAATTGCAGTCTATGAGTTTTTGAGATGGGTGTCATAAAAACATGGTGAATGTTATTGGACAAATGTATAAACCAAGAGAGAAAAATAAAGATCAATTCTATGCAGAGGCAGAGGTGCCACAAACGATGGTGCAAATATTGAGTGAGAGTAAAGACCTATGTAGAAACACATGAACACTACGAGAATGAAATGCATTGAGAAAATGAGCAAGTGATGGTATGTGATCTGCAAACCTGCTTGTCAGTTTTCATTATTTTCCAAGCTGTACTATGTCTTAAACGATATTCAAGTCTGTCTAATGTTTTCTATGCTTGCCTCTAATGATCCTTATTTAAAAATTGGTTTAATTTTAGCAAAACCCCTCAAAGATGTCTTAAACGATCTGGCAAACCAGTGCTAACATCTGTACATACATCAATTGAAATATATTCAAAATGCTGTACAGTCTGTTATCACAGGAATTTTCAAACTGAGTTGAAAGCTTTTCAAAATATTAGAAAATATCCATTTAGTTGGGGAGCTAAAACTCAGTTTCTACATAAATATGAGCTAATGAGGCCAGGTGTGGTGGCTCAAGCCTGTAATCCCAGCATTTTGGGAGGCCAAGGTGGGCGGATCACGAGGTCAACAGATCGAGACCATCCTGGTCAACATGGTGAAACCCCATCTCCATTAAAAATACAAAAAATTAGTTGGGCATGGTGGGGCGTGCCTGTAATCCCAGCTACTCGGGAGGCTGAGGCAGGAGAATTGCCTGAACCCAGGAGGCGGAGGTTGCAGTGAGCCTAGATCGCGCCATTGCACTCCAGCCTGGGTAACAAGAGCGAATCTCCGTCTCAAAAAAAAAAAAAAAAAAAAAAAATGAGCTAATGATTAAGTGTTAGTTTTCATTAGAAATTTTCAGTTTTCCCAGAAAGTGTGTTTTCTGGGAAAATAAACATGTGTGTGTGTGCACGTGTGTGTGTGTGTATGTGTATGTGTGTGTGTGTGAATCAAGAGTGAGACTGCACTAAAGTTAAATCTACCATTCATTTCTAGCTTGTGTGATTTTATTCATATTCCTTCTGTATTGCAAAAGAGTGATTCAGTTGAACAAAAGTCATTAGTTTTATTAAATCATCAACTCTAGATATAAATTTACTTGGTTTTCTGTAGGAGCTCCCTCTTCTCTTTGCCTACCCTTGTACTTACATATCACTAGCAATGGAGGAGTTTCGGGACATAGACTTTGGAGAGAGGTCATAATCGCTGTCGGATCGATACAGGAAGGACTCCCGGCGTTGACTGTGGACAAAATTTGCTTGGAGAATTAGCCCAGATCCTGGGCTGGTCATGGGATCCAAGGGACTCCGTCCCGCAGATGTGCCATTGTCCACATCAAAACTGTAAAGGAAGGAGAAGGAATTATGTTGCTGTGAACATTCAAATGCATGTTGATATTTTCACAAAGCATTTACCTTCAGCTGGGAAATCGACAGTGGAATTAGCAGGAATCAAATTTATACCTAATTCCTGCCATTGAAATATGATTATATGAAATATATAAAAGAAAAACACATTGACTTCACATTCTTATTTTCCTGGATACTGTTGTTAATTGACCAGATACAAGATATAGGTTTTTCCAAACTCAACTTCAGTTAAAAGGGAATCTTCTAACTAAAAAATTTCCTTTTGGAAAATAACAAATACACAGCAATTCATTAAATATTTGAATTCGATTCAACAAATGCCCATGTTGTGCCTAATGCTGTTCTCCAAAGCCTGGGCTTCTCTCTCCACACTCCTACCCTACTACATTTATCTGAGCATTAATTTCTGTTGTACCCACTTCCTTCGTTCCCTACTACCAATATTTTAAATTCAGATCTCCATCAAATTTCACTTATATTATTATAGCAACCCTTATACTAGTGTCTTAAATCCATTTTCTACTGTCATTCCTCAGTTTAAAGCTTTTTAGTAACTTACTATTGCCCTCAGGATGAAGCCAAAATTTTCTAGACTGCTAGTCTAACCATCTGCTCTCAATTACAATTAGTTGTCTTTCCAGCCTCAATTTGCAGCCTTCATCTACTGGGTACTTCAAACTCAACTCAGATTGAAGCACGAACTCCTCGTCACAGGCTATCACCATCTAACCTCCTGCTCTCCTAATTACTCAACCCTCCTTTTCCCTGACTAATTGTCACCTATCCTTGAGACCTAGCCTGTACCTGAAAGGCTCCCCTGGTACCTAAGAGCTTTAAGAAAGGCCCTCTTCTCTATACTCCCAAGACACTTTCCCACTCCCTGATGACAGAATTTATAATGAATTGAAAATGTTTTGCACCCAGTCTCCATTCCTAGACTTTGAGCTCTCTACGAATGGAGACTCTGAGTATTCTTGGCACTTTAAAAACCATACACAAGTGGCTTGAGTAAATGATTACATGAATAAAAGACACTGTGCTCAGCAATGCATATTTCAGACCTGGGAAAAAAATAACTACACACACAGTTCTTAACGTCATAGTACTTATAATCTAGATAAACTTTCCACAAAGAATCTTTCTAGTGAAACATCAACCAGTATTAAAATAGTCACCTTTCATGTGCTCTTAGGTGAGGAGGGTGATAGCTTAGGACAGCCCAGCAGGTGTGTGGGCTTTTTTTTTTTTTTTTTTTTTTTTTTTTTGAGACGGAGTTTCACTCTTGTTACCCAGGCTGGAGTGCAGTGGCGCGATCTTGGCTCACCGCAACCTCTGCCTCCTGGGTTCAAGCAATTCTCCTGCCTCAGCCTCCTGAGTGGCTGGGACTACAGGCTCGCACCACCATGCCTTGCTAATTTTTGTATTTTTAGTAGATACAGGGTTTTACCATGTTGACCAGGATGGTCTCAATCTCTTGACCTTGTGATCCACCTCCCTCGGCCTCCCAAAGTGCTTGGAATATGGGCGTGAGCCACCACGCCCGGCCTGGTGTGTGGTTTTAACGAAAAAATTGTTGAATTAATAAACATGTGAATTCAAGTGTTGCTGCCATTAACATTTTCCCCATTAGAATCTTTATCCAAACTATTAACTAGCTAATTTTAAAACAGTCATTTATTTTCTTTATTGCAGTTATTAATAAATAGAGTTATGACCCTAAGATTGAAAGATGTTTCATAGGTCACTTTTGAATCTACAATCAAATAACAGTGGCTCCAAAACCATCCACCAAGTAAACAGAAGAGGAAAAACTCATCATCAAGCTTGACCAGTTGTAAATATGTTTTTCCCACTTAAAATTTTCTTAGAATTGTGTCACTTTGTAGATGTATTTATTTGGTTCAGGAAGGACAATGAGAGATTATCCAGTTGAACAGACTCACTTTACAGGCAAGGATACCAGGTCCTAGAAAAGTTAATTGACCAGTCACTGAGCTAACTGTATTGAATCATCGATTGTTCCCAAAGTCCTTCTAGCTCTATTGCATAATTGTGCAAACCACAAATATATGTGTCATCCAAACAAGGGGTATCTGTTTCAACAGAATAGGATAGGCACGTATGTACCTGGGGCCTTGGCAATTCCCAGGAAGGCTGGAAAGGGAGGATGGTCTCTAATTATTCAATAGACATACATTAGGGACCTTCAGCAAACTCTCCTTAGATATGCTTAAATAGGCATTTATTAAGCACCTACTATGAGTGCATTAAGATACAAAAATAAAGGACGAATGATTAACTCAGGATGGGATATCTGAGAAGTTTTCATAAAGAGTAGTACTTAAGAAGGTTTTTGAAGGTGTTTAGTATACAACCAGTAGACATCAAAAAATTCTGAATAATGGGAGTTTGGCAAAGTAGATTTCTCTTCTAAGAAAATAGCCATGGCAGCTTATCAGCATGAGGAGGACCTAGGAATGTGAATACCTATAAAAATGTTTATGTCTATTTCCCTTTAATATCAAGATATTCTTATTGCTAAATTAAAAACAGAAAACACTCTCTCCTTCCTGTCCACAAACAGAAATGTAAGAGATACAGAAGTGTGGGTTTTGTTTTAATTTTTTTTCATTTCTGTTGAGTAAATGCCAAATTTGTAAAAATCAGTAATTTTTTCTTTAATTATATTTTTTCCAATTAAATTAAGCAAGTCTTCACTTACAGAGACACTCCACTATAAGTCCTGAAACAAATACTGCTAAATATCTTAACTCACTTCGATACTTAAGATATTTTTAAATCTTAAAACTTTTAAGCCATAATATTACCACTAAAACCAAAACATTTATTAGTAGATCAGAAAGTACTTGATATAAGATACTCTAGGAGCTTTGATACTTTTCTTTGCATGTTGTCATATAAAAATTTGTCCACTAGATGGAGATCATTTTCTTAAACAAGGAAACTATTTTCTACTAAAAGGTTAAATAACCTTAAAGGCCTAAATTACCTATTTCTTAAGGACTCAGGAAGACAACCCTTTAAATGACATCCAAAAAACAAGATTTACAATGCATAGTAATTATCAATTTTGATAACATTACATTAATCTAATATCAGTATTAGCTTTACAGACATTGAGAATGAAGATCTAAAAACAGTGACTGATATTTTATTGGACTTTTGCATTAAAAAAATGAAACTTGAGAAGACTAAATTGAATTTCCATGACAAATCACTAAGTACTTACTATGTTGGAGTAAAGTACATGAGCATCATTAATAGTCCGGGGTTTCACTCTAAATTTTGGTACCACAAGTTTTCTCAGAATACAGTTTGTTTTGGGAAGTGAACCTAGGGTTCGAGGTCATTTGCATAATTGGTTTCCATTCTATTTAATGCTCTTGCAATCAAAATTAATTATCAAGAAAAAGTAATATTACTGAGACTTTCTAGTCTGAAGTATTAGCAAATGTCAGTATTAGTGAATGCCCTTACAGAAAAAGACTTCCTATTATGAAAATATTCATTGAATTAACTTTTACATTTTGTCCTATGTCCTTGGATCGCACTTGAATAAGTACAGATATACTAAACATAGTCCTTTTCTAGAAAGCACTGAAGTCTAGTTATGTCAAAAGAACATCAAGCAACCAGAGAAAATAAAAGCAACAAAACAGGTGACATCTGTATTAAATAGTATGTAAATACTAAAACACGAAGTTGTATTACAAAGGCAAGCAAAATATGTGATGTAGACAATGAGTGTAAAGGAATTTAAGAAGGTGAAGGATGTTCCTCTTTGAAGGAGAGTTAAAAGATGTCCAGGCAGAGTAGAGCTGGGGTTGGGTGTGGAGGCCATCCAGCAAAAGTGAACCCACAAAAGCAAACCCACGCAGGAATGAGTAAGGCATGTGTATAAAACAGGACATGTAGCGTCTGGCTCAATTTGAGGCTTGGTATTAAAGAATAGTGGGGACCTACAAAAACAGCAATTTTGTACAATTCAACCTAATAGGTCGGGCTGGATGTGTTTATGGAAAGCTGGGCCAAGGCGTGTCAGCAGAAGCTTGTTATAAAGACATATGTGGAAACACTCAAATCAATTTTTAGGCCGGGCGCGGTGGCTCAAGCCTGTAATCCCAGCACTTTGGGAGGCCGAGGCGGGTGGATCACAAGGTCAAGAGGTCGAGACCATCCTGGTCAACATGGTGAAACCCCGTCTCTACTAAAAATACAAAAATTAGCTGGGCATGGTGGCGCATGCCTGTAATCTCAGCTACTCGGGAGGCTGAGGCAGGAGAATTGCCTGAACCCAGAAGGCGGAGGTTGCGGTGAGCCGAGATTGCGCCATTGCACTCCAGCCTGGGTAACAAGAGCGAAACTCCGTCTCAAAAAAAAAAAAAAAATCAATTTTTAACACTGAAATCTCAGGGAAGTAAGATGGGGAAGACTAGTATTTGTTAAAATAAATATATTCCTTTTGCAACAAATAAAAAGTAGAAAAGAGAGTAAAGGCTGAGCACAGTAGCTCATGCCTGTAATTCCAACATTTTGGGAGGCACAGGTGGGAGGATCGCTTGAGCCCAGGAGTTCGAGGTTACAGCGACTATGATTGTGTCACTGCACTCCAATGTAAGCGACGGAGCAAGACTCTGTCTCAAAAAACAAAAAAACAAAAGACAAATAAACCCCCTAAAACAGGGTAGAAAACAACAACAAAAAATATATTAACCACAAGAGGACCCCCTAAAAGTCTTGTTCGTTAAATACTTCAAATATTAGAGCTAGAAGGTTTGCCTTGAGAGAGGTGAGTTGTGGATTTTAAAAGGCAGTTCATTTTTACTTGGTAGGTAGTGAGTTAGCTGAGAATTAGACTACATACTTAACTTTCTGAAAGTTAGCCTAATTAAGTCAGTTTGGGCTGAAATTATAGACGCCTTCAAATAAGCTACTTATTTTTGAAACATA